CTCTGTTAGCAATTGCTTACTTGAAAAAAGAAAAAAAAAGTTGGTTTAGATTCAATGCCATAACATGAGTAATATCTAGACAGCCCTATTTGTTAACGAAAATTTGATAAAAGCCTGATATACAGCCCTGAAAAACATAAAAGAACGAGAGGAAAAAAAAAGTAACTACGGTGAATCCCCTTTCGGAACTCATATCCCGAGAGCACGCACTTCGCACGTCATCTGGAGACGGAATGAGGGAGCAAAACGGAACCTCCATCCCTCCCTGCCACCACGCAGCATATCACCCCCTGCCACCACCCCTTAAAACATTCTTCCCTCCCTTCCTCCCTGCCACCACGCAGCTTATCACCCCCTGCCACCACCCCTTAAAACATTCTTCCCTCCCTTCCTCCCTGCCACCACTGAACTACTCCCTTATTGTTGCTACTCTCTCCCTCCCTAAGACTCCCACTCTCACTAAAGCCCAACTCTCACTCGGTATACACTCCCATGAACAACTCTTACTTATTAACCTCGTCTGTAATGATGAAAGAGGAAGAAGGAGAATGGGAACAAAAGAGAGAGAGAGAGAGAGAGAGAGGAGAAATAAAGAGTGTGGGAGAGGATAAGAGGGAAGAAATGAAAGGGCGGGAGAGGATAAGAGGGAAGATATGAAAGGGTGGGAGAGGATAAGAGGGAAGAAATGAAGAGTGAGAGAGGATAAAGGGAAGAAATGAAAGGGTGGGAGAGAAGGGAAAGAAGAACGTGGAATAAGGGATGTTAGTATGGAGCTGAAACAGAAATGAATAAGAGTTTAAGTGGGGGTAAGAAAAAAGAGGAGGAGGGAAGGGAGAGTGATGCGAAGGAGGAGGAAGACGAAAGAGTGAGAGATTAAGGAAGAGGAGGAGGAGGGAAAGGAGAGTGAAGGAGGAAGACGAAAGGGCGAGAGAGTAAGGAAGAGGAGGAGGAGGGAAAGGAGAGTGAAGGAGGAAGACGAAAGGGTGAGAGAGTAAGGAAGAGGCGCAAAGGAAGTGTTCATCACAATTACATAAGCTCACACGCGCACGCACGCACGCACGCACACGCGCACACACCCAAACCACGCCACCAGCCTACCTACACACCGAGTCAACATAATAACCAAATTATATCCAAATTACAAACACACCAAACAAACAAACAAGCACTTTAAGGATAATGATCAAGCTAGACGAACTATAAAGCCATCGTCAACAAGATAATGAAACACCACAGCGACGGTATGAATATGAACACAATGTAAACAAACTTCTCGAGTGGGAGTGAGGATGGCGATGATACACGACTTATGTGAACTCTCCTAACACCCTCCCTCCCACAGCTCTTATCCTGCGACCCCCCCTACCTTCCCATTCAAACTGTAAGACCACCCTACCCCTGACAACGGCACCACCCCAACCACGCCTCACCCTCGCCACCCCACTTAACCACGCTCCCCCGCCCCTAACCTCCTTTCCCAACCCCATCCTCCCAACCACCCCCAACCGCCCATCCTCCCCAACCACGCCTCTTCCCACCTCTCAGGAATGGTGAGACCAGACAATACAATGGGGTGGAGGAGAGAAAGGGAAGTGGGGTGGGTGGTTGAGGCTGGGGGAGTATGAAACGTGAGGAGAAAGAGGGGGAGGGAAAAGAACGGGAGGAAGAGACGTATGAAGGGAGATGAAGAGGGATGGATGTAGGTAGAGGGTTGAGTAGGAGAGGCAGATAAGGAAGGGAAGGAGTGAGGGGGAGAAGAAAAAAAAATGGGGAAAAAGAGAAATTAAATTGAAAGAGGAGAAAGAGAGAAAAGGGGAACAGGGAAGGAGAAACGGGCACTACGAGAGAGAACAAAAACTATAAGAAATACAGGAGGAAGAAAAAAGACAACAGACGAAATGATGAGGAGGAAGAGGAGGAGGAGTAGAAAGTGGGAAGGATAAGTAATGAACCATAATAACACCCGGCAGCAGGAGGGCCACAGTTCATCCTTCTACACAAATGGAGTCTCACTGATGAGGACCGCCAGCCCAGACAACTCCCTCACAATGGCACACATTTTTTCCACACGCACATCTTGCTCCGCTAATTGCATAGGAAGCCCAAGTTGTGTGGCTCCTCAACTTCCTTCACTATTATCGTGGTCCAACACAATATATTGACGTATATCGTAAACTTAATGTTCGTTTATCTTAATGACTAAGACTCATACTGGTTGAAACCTTACAGTGTCTGGCAGGCTTCGAGAATATCCTTATCCCCCTCATACCTACAACTGTTCGGTCTTATTCCTGACTGACAGTACGGATTTCTGATGGGCCGCTTTATTCCCGACAACTGATTTATTTAGCTAACATCATTCATCAATCTCTTGGGGGCAAAAGGAGGGGGAGGGGGGGTGGGGGGTGTACCCATACCATAACACTTCACATTTCTAAGCTTCTGGCTGTGGGGTAACGAGGAATTCGGTCTGAGCTTCACTCCTACGGCCTTTCACTTTAATCTTTTCTGACCGATAAGAGAAATCGTGTGGTACTGGGCGGTGTTCATTTAGATCAAAAATGTACAAACGCCGGTGTGACACAGTGTTCTGTTCCTGGACCATCGTTGTTTCCCCTACAAGTAACCGATCCCCTGACCTACACTGATAGTCAAATTTACTCTCAGGCTGACGGCTCCACTCTACAACTATTTTCCTTTGACAACTCAGCTCCCTCAGCAAGCGTGAATGAACATCAGACAACAAATGACAATTACGCGATGGGGATATTAAAACTTAGTCAATTTAACTCTCTCTATGCATGATGTATTGTGTGTGTGTGTGTGTGTGTGTGTGTGTGTGTGTGTGTGTGTGTTCTTCAGCAACAAAAGCAACAGTTTAGACTATTGTCACACTCTTCAAACACAACAGATTTCGTCTTATAGCGATCAGATTCTGTGATTCTTACTCAACAACAATCTATTTTGAATCCTATAAGTTTCATTACTCTACAGCAGCAGCTAAGAAACTCGACATACCGTACTCTACAAAACACTATATTATTTCAGTAACAAGCACTTGTCCTGTGTAAAGTTGTGTGGTCAGTCTCCTATCTGGGACGGATGTGGGGGTGTCGCTCTGGGTAGCTTAGCGTCGACGATACAAAAAAGTTCATAAAAGACTTGTAAATTATGAAGAGTACACAGTCTACCTTGATTCCGTCACTGGCGGTGCCTAGAATTTTGGCATCTTCTCTACAATTACTAGAACCACAGTGTTTCCAGGAACCAGCTCCATTATGCCTCCCCGGCGTGCTTTTGTATCACTCTCTCAATGCAGAACCTCTTGCTTTCATGAACTCATTAGTTCCCAGAACCACAGCTCTTTGAACTGTAATTATTCAGTTGTTTTTTCAAAAAAAAATTAATCTGCAGAACATCAAGAAACACTGAATCAACTATATTATCCTCGTGAGGATCTCTCTCCAGTGTTTACCTGACTAGCACCCAGTATGAGGAGGGGGGGGTATAAGAAGGTAGAGGAACATCTGTATAGCTTTCAAGAGAAGAAATGATTGTTGCATACTGGGGTCTCGCTCCTCACGCGAGGAGCTAGAGAGGGTCTTCGAATTGTGATGTGTGACCGTGTGTTTAAATATAAATAAAACTAAAATAATACAAAGGAGGGTGGTAGAAGACGATACCTACTCAATGTTCAGAGAAAATGTCTTTTTTCTTCTTTGAGGCCAAGTGTCTCAAACATATCCAACCGGAGGTATACTGTACACCCCCTCTATGTCTACATTTACCTATATATGACTGACTCTGCCTTGACGCCTAAGTCCTTCGGTTCTTTCTAATACGAATCCACTATTATTTTCTTTAAGATCATTATTTAAAAACCGTGTAAATACAAAACTCTGTTTCCAGATAAATATTAATTTAAACTGGGACTAGTACACGTTAATGACTGACAGACATATGCCGTACAACAAATCGTGGAAACAATGTAAAAATATGCTGTATCAACATTCATTTAGTAAACATTTTCAAAATTCCCCTTATATACCCACAGGTGTTCATTATGTGTGCCCCTCATGTGTACCTGTAGTGGCACCTTCTCTCCGACAATACCTGGCAGTGAGTCGCCTCAGCATCTCCGGTGGTATCTTCAAAGACACTCCCACAGGCTGGAGACACTACTGTATAGCAACGAAAGACCGACCAGCCCGAGAGCTTGGAGGAGAAACGGACCCGGGTGACAGACTGCGAGGAGAAGAGGGGTAGAGTAGAGAGGAAAAGAGGGGTAGAGTAGAGAGGAAAAGAGGGGTAGAGAGAAGAGGTGAGAAAGAGGAAAGGAGGGTGGGGAAGGAAAAGGGAGTGGGGAGAGGGGGTGGAGTGGGGAGAGAAGGGGGTGGGGAGTGGGGGGGGAGGAAGGGGGGAGAGGGAGAGGGGGGTGGAGGGAGTGGAGAGAGGGGATTGGGGAGTGGGGGAGGGAAAGGGGTGGAGAGGGGTGGGGAGAGGGGTTGGGGAGTGGGGAGAGGAAGAGGAAGGGAGATTGGGGAGTGGGGGGGAGGAGAGGGGGTGGGGTGGAGGGAGAGGGGGGTGGGGATGGGAGAGAGGTGGGGTGGAGAGAGGGGGGGGTGGGGTGGGGGAGAGAGGGTGGGGTGGGGGGAGAGAGGGGGGTGCTGGGGTGGGGAGAAGGGGGTGAGAGTGAGAGGGACGGGGTGGGTGTGAAGAGGCAGGGCAGGGTAGAGTGAAGAGAGGCAGGGCAGGGTAGAGTGAAGAGAGGCAGGGCAGAGTAGAGAGAAGAGAGGCAGGGCAGAGTAGAGAGGGGACAGGACTAGGTAGTGAGAAGGACAGATCTGGGTTGAAAGAAGCAGAGCAGATTAGACTGAAGGGACAAGATGGGGAGGAGAGGGTCAGGGTAGAGAGAAAGGAGGGAGACGAGGGGCAGAACTAGGACAAGAAAAGAACGGGGTGACGAAGGCCCAACAGAAGGTAGTAACAGTAGTACTCACCAGTGACGGGCGCCTCAATATCGATCATGGTCTTCTCCTGACGGAGGAGGGCGGCCCCCTCGTTGATGATGCGGAGGGCCGCCGCCTCGTCGATGCGGCCCTCCAGGATGAAGTGGTTCTTCAGCCACTCAAACTTCGGCTTGCCCGTCTTGGGGTCGAACACCTCTGAACATGTTAACTTGTGTGACGGCGGGAACGGCACACCTAGAACAAATAAATAAATATATTAATAAACTGTAAACATGTCCATTGTGTGTGTGTGAGAGAGAGAGAGAGAGAGAGAGAGAGAATTTCATTAGCATTAACTGCACTTTTACTATCTCAATAATAAAAGGCGAGATATAACTAACAATAGCATACTATGATTACATCAACGAAAATATTACCAAAACACGTTACAATTTTCAAGTTACTCATAGTGCTACCCCCCCACACACACACACACACACACACACACACACGAGCGAGCAACAAGACAGACACAGGAAGGTCAAGGAGTTGTCACCGAGAAAATCAAACTCCCACACCATTGTCACATGACGCCGTCACACCCTCACTATCAACACCAGCTACAACAGTCTCAGAAATGTTAATGTTGCATTTTCCTGGTAACCAAAGGCATACCAACACATCTGGCTAATTAACTCACGCTATTACTCAGTATTGGATTCTTAAAGGCACATACTGAACGTTATATCTCCCTTGTACACTGCTGAATATAAAACCCCCACTAATTAATTAACTCTAGGGATTCTCATCAGTTCGTACACTCTGTATTGTTCTTGGAAAAAGATGTGTAACAACGCAATTAACTGTCCCCCTCAAATTACAACACAACGACGGATCCTCAATTTTGTTTCCAAGTTTTATCATACAGTATATACAGTTGTAATTTAATTGGTTAAATGAAGATAAGACACAAAGTTAGAATAAAGTCAAAATGTTCAAAAATTGTACCTAACCTTCGTAAACAAGAAATCAGAACGCATCTAGCTAGGTCACCTAAGGATACACCTCAAAATTAATCCCCAAAGTGACATCCAACTTACATCACGACCTTAACTAGATACATTAACTCAGTACCTGGTAAGAGGATGAATGTAGCTTTGAATAATGAATGTTTTGTGAATGTGGACCTTGGTGGGTTTATTCATCATGTGTTGCACCATAACACAAGCTGGATGACGCCATGACGTTCCCTAAAGCAAAGGAAGAGAACCGTCCAATTCTAAGGTTAAGTTTCATCATGCGAGTCTTTTGTTTATGTGCCGGCGCGCGCGTACATAGTATATTCTCATCCGTGAAGAAGAAATAAAGACAGACGAAAGACAGATGGGAGATAAAACAAAATGAGAAGAAAAAAAGTAGGAAATGAAGAAAAGAAAGTTCTTAAGAAAAAATAATTAAAGAACGAGTAAAATAAAAACATCAAAAAATAAGGATTGGAAAATAAATAAAACAGAATAGGTAATATATATAAAAAAAACCCAGCTAGACTTCAGAAAATCAAGAACAGTACGGACACAGTTTATCTATGAATTGAAGCCCGTTTCGGCGAGTTAAAAAGTTGACCAAGAAAGACACAGACAAATAACACGAAAGGAAAAATGCTTGGGAGTTTGTGCAAATGGTTATTAACTGTAATTAACGCCAATTAACGTCGAGGAGGTTTAGATTCAGCCAATCAGCGGCAAGTACCAAGATTCTATATTTTCCGCTTGTTTTGGTAGCAACTTAATTCCCTCTTCTGAAACTTGGGCGTGTTAAAATTAGAATTGATCTTTCACCCACATTGTGAGATTAATACACAACTCAAACACTGATGATGCAATAGACATTTTTGTGAAGCGTCACATTCATACAAAAAACTGCAACAAGTGGCCAAAGGAATAATCAGAGTCCACAAGACTGAGAGACGCAGTTAACATATTATGGTAAGATGGTTAAGATGCGTTTGGCTTGGGCAGATCTGGTGAAGTTTTAGTGAGGTTTTCAATTTTCTATCAGTTTGATTTTTTTTCCCATTTCTGAGGCATTAGCACAAGAAAAGGTCAGAAATTAATAACGTTTACAATTTTACATTATAAAACTAAATACAATTAGGCAAAAAAAAGTGGAAACGGGCTTTAACCAATTATTTACCAAGAAAAGAATTAAGAAAAAATAGCATCAGGGAGAGAGAGAGAGAGTAATAAAACAAGGAGAGAAAAGCCGAAATATATGACAAAAGGACATACACATTTACGCATAACTAAAGATGCGAATGATGTAACTTATAAAACATTCATCCTCTCAGGTGTATATATGCATTTGCTAATGAGACTTAAGGAAAGAGTGGCGGTTTGGGGCTCCTAACACGTGTACATTAACTTCGGGTTACGTAAGAGTACACCTGTTCACGTGTGTGTGTGTGTGTGAAGGGTTTGCATGTTGCCGTCGACGCACATGCAAGCAGGAAACAACCAATATACGACACGAGGCCCGCAGGGTATAGTGGGTCAGTGAGTAGGGGGAAAAGGGACAGGGGAAAGGAAGAGAAGAAAAAGGGAAAGATGGGGGAGGAATGGAGTAGAGAGAGGAAGCGAAAATGGGGGAAGGAATGGAGAAAAGAGAAGGAAGTAGAAGATGGAGAAGGAATGAAGAAAAGAGAGGAAGCGAAAAAAGCCGAAAATGGGGGAAGGAATGGAGAAAAGAGAAGGAAGTAGAAGATGGAGAAGGAATGAAGAAAAGAGAGGAAGCGATAAAAAGGAGATGGGGGAAGGAAGGAAGGAAAGAGAAAGAGGGAGGCGAGAGGTAAGACAATAAGAAGGAGCACAAAATACCAAACTCTCAAGTCACAATATCCTCCATCTCTCTTACAGTTCCAGTCAATACTTAATTCTTGTTACATTATTCACCTGTGTTACCAGTCAAACTTTATACACATGGACCACCGCCACACATCTTCTCCCTCCACACACAAAAAACTTTCTACCCCCAAAAACAAAACTTTATAGCAATCACTGACCTCAAAATACCTATGGTTGCAATCACTGACCCCAAAATACATCATGTTACAATCACTGACCCCAAAATACTTCATGTTACAATCACTGACCCCAAAATACATCATGTTACAATCACTGACCCCAAAATACATGTTGCAATCACTGACCCCAAAATACATCATGTTACAATTACTGACCCCAAAATACATGTTGCAATCACTGACCCCAAAATACATCATCGTTACAATCACTGAACTTCTAAAATATGCTGTTGCAATCACTGACCCCAAAATACATCATATATAAATCACTTAATCTCTAAAAATATACATGTTGCAACTACTGACCCCAAAAATACATCATGTTACAATCACTGACCCCAAAATAATCATGTTACAATCACTGACCTAAAATACATCATCAATATGTTACAATCACTGACTTAAAATACATGTTACAATCACTGACCCCAAAATACATCATGTTACAATCACTGACCCCAAAGTACATCATGTTACAATCACTGACCCCAAAATACATCATGTTACAATCACTGACCCCAAAGTACATCATGTTACAATCACTGACCCCAAAATACATGTTGCAATCACTGACCCCAAAATACATCATGTTACAATCACTGACCCCAAAATACATGTTGCAATCACTGACCCCAAAATACATGTTGCAATCACTGACCCCAAAATACATCATGTTGCAATCACTGATCCCAAAATGTATAAAGCACGCAGGTCAGTGACCTCCTAATACCCTGCACCCCGAAATGCGTGTTAGGTCAATCTCCAAATCCTTCTCTTCCATTAACATTCTTGATAATTCCTAACAATTTCTGGTAATTCCTATTTTCAACGTCACCTACTATTTCAGCCACGATTTTGGGACTATTATTCATTTGTGTGGAAGATTTAACTTATCGTTAGGTTTAAATCATACTGCCTTTCAAGTGATCAGATACTGTACAACAAATTCCACATTGGGATTGATTGAATTATAAAAATTACCTTGGTGTACGCGTCAAAAAGGCGTCTATAACGAGACTAAATGATAACAAAGGAACTGAAGAGGAAAGCAACAGTTTTATCGACATGTTTTTGTTTCAGGAAATTAAGTGACGAATTACGCAAACCCTAAATTTGGAGAGAAAATAAATCTAACATCGATGACCAATATTTCTCTCGAGGAAGTCCACACCAAAATTCGTCGAACACTAACACACTACGTGACTTGCATACTGCTCGACTCTTCCAAGGCTTTCATTGGTTGTAGAACGTGAGGTAGTGACCCGCAACTTAACTACCTTGTTTAGAAGCACTCATTAACCTTAAAATAGAAATACCGTATAAAGTTGAACTGTAACAATATTCCTCGGGTGAGAGGGGTCATGGGGAAGTGTTCAGCCAATAAATAATGCTAACGCAGCCATTGGTTGTGAAGATAAGGAAGAATGTCTTAAAATAGTCAAGCGGCAATAAATATCGTTCAATCACGTCGGCGTCTTCAATAGGTGTGAAGGAACATGGTTAGCGAGTAATCCGCATATTCAGCATGACTGAAATCAGCTGTCATAGATACATTCCGAATCCATTGGTATTAATGAAATAAAAACGGAATACCAGAGAATCTATCGCTACCTCAGTGACAAAGCTTTTTTTAAATTAAATTGAAAAAAAAATACTCATGTGCTTAACAAAACAAAATATCCTTATATACTGTTATGATCTGACAGAAGAAATAAAACGAAACACTCACAAGCAAGCCAATATGTTATTGAAATACCCTACAAGTCTGTTTACTGTAAGAGAATGGAATTTTCTTTTTTACGCATCTCAACAAAACTGGAAAGTTACATCACACTCGCCCAGAGACAAAGATAATGTCTCCACTGTCGCTGCAGCAGAACAGAAACGGTTTACTTGGCCTGAAGACTTAAAACCTGTACAGTAACACACACAAAATAAATAATAATAAGAACTGTCGACCTGAGCCCCGACAATTATCTCCTCAAACACTAAAGCAAACTTTAATCAGAAAGAGAACAAATAGAAACTGCACATTATTATTACCACAATCATGGAACAGTTAACACGCATCACCTTAACACAACCAACCAAACTTAATCATCCACCAAAAAAAAAAAAATTAATATTGTTAAAAGTTGTTCTCTGGTGTTGGAACTTGAGACTTGTTAAGACCTTA